GTCATGCTTCATTTCAGACACTGGCACAAGCACACTCCATTCCAACACCCGAGTCCATCTGGACTAAGAGAGTTGCATAGGCTGCAGGTGAATACCCTTATTATTGAAAACAATAAAACAAAACAAAAATGGCCAGGCACAGTGGTTCACACCTGTAATCCCGGAACTATTGGGAAGCCAAAGTGGGTGGATCACCTGAGGTCAGGAGTTCGAGACCAGCCTGACCAATATGATGAAACCTCATCTCTACTAAAAATATAAAAATTAGTCAGGCATGGTGGTGTGTGCTTGTAGTCCCAGCTACTCGGGAGGTGAGGTAGGAGAATCACTTGAACCTGGGAGGCAGAGGTTTCAGTGAGCTGAGATGGCACCACTGCATTCCAGCCTGGGTGACAGAATGAGACTCAGTCTCAAAACAACAACAAAATGACGAAACCTTCCATGGACTGGAAATCACACTCTGTGATCATATAACTCTTTACTATCATAGAAGATATGCTTGCTGGTTTTTATCAGAAATTCCCTACTTAACACCAATGTCAAACAGACATAGTTTAATTGCTTCCATCCAGGTGGGGAGCTCATAATTTCTATACTTCCTGGGCTATCAACAATTCTATCATATACTTTTTAGATTTTGTTTTTAATAGTTTTACAAACATTAAAGAAAGATTTCTCTTGGTGTCCTTTGTGATGTATGTGTAAATTAAAAAAAAAAAAAAAGCCCTGGCACTGAGCACACAGGAGAACATGGCTGCAGGCTGGGGTGGACAGATATGCCTCTCATCCTGATGAAACAGGGTGTGTGCTACATTCACATCTGCGTGCTCCCTATGAAACCCAGCTTCTAACACGATTCTTTTAGGAAAATTTCCCTGCTCTTTCCCTCTTCTGCTCTAGTAAGAGTTCTCCTATGTGCTCAGTTTTATACTGTATGGGTTTGCCTGTTTTGACACGTTATTTTGAAAACCTGTACCTGTAACTGTGATAGATATGACCTCTCTCACCAAAAAGAATGCCAGCATCCCCCAGCGGAAGCCATACACCAAGAAGTGGTGAAATGTCACTGCAGCCACTGTGGCTCCTCTGGAATGTGGCCAGGATGGGGCATTTAGGAAGCAGGAGGCTGGGTTCCTTCAGGGAGAGGCAAACAGGCTGTAATCAGCAAACAGAATCCTAGGCTCTGGGACACAACCCAATTCAAGATTATTGTGAAGTCAAATAGACCCTAAAATGAAAAATGCCAGACATCCAGGGCTGATTGAGACTCTCATCACAGACCTGCAGTCTTCTACACGCTCCCTGGTGGTTGGGTGATCGGTCTGGGGAAGAAATTCAACCCTGCAGGTAGGGAACAGGGGCCTATGCCATGGCCTCAGCCTGACCCATTGCATGCTGCCATGGCTGCAGGAGGCTTGGGCAGGTGGTGGAGCCTCTGTGCTCAGAATCGCAGAGACTAGTGCCAGACACAGGGGCTCCAGCCCAGGAGGCATGGCTTGCCATTCGGAGCCTGAGAGCAAACATCTTTAGGTCCATAATTTTCCAATAGAACCGTGCTGATTCGAGGACAAAAAGGCCAATCTATCTGGATGACTGCAGGGAGAGATGCACAAGCACTGTCAGGAGGACGTGGGCGTGTACCTGTGTGGGCTCCACCCAGCAGTGTTAGGAAGGCCTTCTGACTATTTTCAGTGCTTTTATGCCCACTATTTCCTCAGTTATCTCCACAACATCATATCAGAAAAGCAGAGACTAAGACATCAATGAATGCATAGATCACACCTTTGACCCGTGAAGCCGCTGCAGCCCGTGGCCCCAACTTAAGGCCGCCTCTCTGGCTGCTCCTTTCCGGTCCCCTTTGCTGTGTCCTCCTCTTCTACCTCCACGACAAACACTGGGGTTCCCAGGTGTGTTCCTTGGTCCTCCCTCTCTATGCTTCCCTAAGACCAAGGGGCTAGATGCTCTCCTTCACTCTGATGGCTTTAAATTCCATTTGTGCCCATGGTGTCCAACATGGCAGCCACACATGATGTGGCTATTTAAATTAAAATTTAATTTAATGTAATTCAATTGAGCTAGTCAGCAGATATAGTCTTCAGTCACACTTGCCACATTTCAAGTGCTCAAGAGCAGGTGTGGTTGGTGGTTGCCCCGTGGGCAGTGTAGATAGAGAATGTTCCCATCATCTCAGGAACCTGCATTAGATGGCATGAATCTCTTCATGGACAACCCCAGATATGTGTTTCCAGCTCTGTTCTCCCATCCCAGCTTTGGATTTGCTATGCAGTCACCTGCCTGCCATTGCCACCTGCATTATTTCACAGCACCTCCGACTTCACATGATTTAAACACAACCTTTCCCCTAGAATGTTTAATAATCCTGTCCAGCCTGCTTCACAAACAAAGCATCACAGAAAAGTAATTTAAAGATTTTAATACATTCTGTGATGGTTAATTGCATGTGTCAACTTGGATAGGCATGGTACCCAGATATTTGGCCAAATATTATTCTAAATGGTTCTGTGAATTCCTTTTTTTTTTTTAAGACAGGGTCTCTGTCACCCAGCCTGGAGAGCAGTGGTGTAATCACAGCTTCAAACTCCAGTGTCAAGTGATTCTCCCACCTCAGCCTCCCAAGTAGTTGGGACCTCAGATGTGTGCAACCAAGCCAACTAATAAAAAATTTTTTTTCTGTAGAAATGGGGGTCTCCCTATGTTGCCCACGCTGATCTTGAACTTCTGGGCTCAAGCGATCCTCCTCTCTCAGCCTTCCAAAGTGCTGGGATTGCAATTTTGAGCCCCTATGCATGGCTTAATATTTAAAGTAGTAGACTCTGAGCAAAGAAAAAGACCCCACTTAGTGTGTGTGGGCTCATCTAATCAGTTGAAGGCCTGAATAGAAAAGGCTAACCTTACCCAAGAAGGGGGAATTCTGCCAGCAAATGGCCTTCACATTGGGACTGCAGCATCAGCTCTTCCCTGAGTCTCCAGCCTGCTGGCTTCTTACCCTACAGATTTTGGACTTGCTAACTTCTATCATCTACACATACACATACACACACACACACACACACACACACACTCTCTCTCTCTCTCTCTCTCTCTCTCTCTCTCTCTCTCTCTCTCTCTCTCTTGGTTCTGCTTCTCTGGAGAATCCTAACACTTTAAAAAATTAAATTACTTTGCTCAGTTATTGTCATTGCCATGACCATTCTCTGGACTTTATTTGAATCCTGATGTGAGATAATCAAAACAGAGCTTTTAAACATTTATCTATACCCTCCCCATCTCAGAAAATGGCCCTGTCTAACTAGATGCTAGGGCATCATCTTTGACTCCTTCCTCTCCTCCTCCCCTACAACCAATCTGTCACAAAGTCCAGTTGATTCTATCTAAGACATATTTTGAATCTTTCCATGTCTTTCCATCTGCATTGCTACCACCCTCGTGGTTAGTGAGTGAGGCCAAACCAGAGCTGTGGGGAAGCTCTGTGGGTTCTGCCTCCTCGGGTCAGCCCAGCTGTGGGGTTCATCTCCCTGACTTCCCTGGATCATCACAGCCTCTCTGCCCCCCTAACCACATCCAGTCAATCAGCCTTCTTCCACAGCCTGTGACAACACCAACACGTTCCCTTACTGCAACTGCTCTGTCACCCTGGCTCTGCACTGCTGCCTCCTCCACCTTCCAATGCCAGTATATTTTCTTTCTTTTTTTTTTTGAGATAGAGTCTTGCTCTGTTGCCCAGGCTGAAGTGCAGTGGCATGATCTTGGCACACTGCAACCTCCGCCTTCCGAGTTCAAGCAATTCTCCTGCCTCAGCCTCCCAAGTAGGTGGGATTACAGGTGTGTACCACCACGCCCAGCTAATTTTTGTATTTTTAGTAGAGACAGGGTTTCACCATGTTGGCTAGGCTGGTCTCGAACTCCTGACGTCAGGTGATCCACTTACGTCAGCCTTCCAAAGTACTGAAATTATAGTTGTGAGCCACTGTGCCCAGCCTGGATGCCAGTTTTGACATCACTGCTGTAGTCTCCATGGTCTGAATGTGATCCCTGTCACTCACTCTCACAGTGCTGAGTTTCTCTCTGGACTCTGATGACTCATCCTTGCTCATTTGTAATTTTACTTACTATAAGTCTACCCACTTGCTTATTGTCTGCCTACCTCATGAGGGTGCAGAACTTCTCTATTGTTGACTGTTGTCTTACTGTGGTGCCCGATGCTTGACAAGAGATTCTTGAGTGACTGAGAGCAGGATCCAGCACAGCATTTTCCATAGTAGGCTCTGTGGGACATTTTGTAGGAGGTTCTAGGCCAGGAATTGGCAAACTGCTGCCCATGGGCCAAATCTGGCTCATAGCCTGTTTTTGTAAATAAACTTTTGTTGGGACACAGCCATGCCCATTCATTTACAAAGCAATCAATGGCATCTTTAGCCGGATGGTAGAGTTGAATAGTTGTGACTGAGACCAACTGACCCACTGAGCCTATCACATGGCCCTTAACAGGGAAAATTTGCTAACCCTTGTTATGATGATTGTAGTAAAATAAACAAATGTAAGTAAAGAGGTTATGTGGATCTGATCTATGTTGGGTTAAACAGTCACATAGATTTCTTAATGGAGGACTTCTTGAAGTCTTTAATGCGTTAATAGGCACCATGCTCTCTAAAAATGTGAAGCAATATACATTGTCCCAGACTTATATGAGCAGGATATTCTTTTTGTTGGTGCTTGCTGGTTCTTTGGAATAGGCTTTGAAAAATGCTGGCCAAGGTCTTGAAACCATGAAGGTAAGATTCCTGAGACGGGAAGCTGAGGAGTATTTGCTGAGGATGGGGTTCCACAGTGTAGTCACACATTCAGGAGTTATCTGTACCTGGTATCAATATCCCAACTTCTACTTCAGGCCTGTAAGCACCCCCTACACTGGGGTTTATCAATTAGGAATCCCCCTGCATTTCCTAGAAGGTAACCAAGGTGACAGGGCCATGACTTACTTTCTCCTGACTGTTCAGCTCCTGGTAGGGGATGTGGGCAGGCAGGTAGGTGTGGAGCAGAGCACAGAAGGCCAGGCCATCACTCCAGCTGCTGCTGAAATTGGTGATGTCAATGTTCTGCAGTAGAGAAAAGCAGCATTAATCAAATACTATTGCAAGTTGTACAGTATCACAGATGAGGGGATTCTGATAAGCTGGGAATCTATCTTTGGATTTTTCAGTAAGGCAACATAAGAATAAACTTCCAAATTTGCTCAGAGTACATTTCATTTTGGTACCAGGAATGGCCTGGTGTTGCCCAAATCTATTCTTAGAATAGCACTGAGAAAAAGCTTTCAGTGTTCAAAACAGTAGAAGATTTCTGTCCATCCCTCAGGAGAGTCATTAAAGGCTCAAAGATACCTTATTCTCAAATTAACCCACCTGATTAGCTTTGTACATGCCAGCATTTCCCAGACTTACTTGGTCAAGAAAGAATTACCCATCATCATTATCACCACCATCATCACTACCTTCATAACCATTACCATCATCCCCACCACCATCATCACTACCATCACTACCACCATCACCATCTCTGTATAACCCCAATTCACAACAAGCAGACCAAGATGAGAAGGTCTGAAAGACCTACAGGGCTGTCTCTGGATTCTTCTTCCTACCACAGTCTTCTCCTCACAATTTAGGAGGCTTCTCGGGGGAAAAGAAAACCCTTCCTACTCAGCATCCCCCTGTCAGCACAGGAAACAAGCAGGGAGCATGAGGCCTCATGGGAAGAAAGGAGCTTCTCCTTCAGGATGGGTGCAGCCCCCAGCAGCTGCTTGGTACACAGTGATAAGGAAACTAAAATCCAACTCTAGCCGGGTGTGGTGGCTCATGCCTGTATTCCCAACACTTTGGAAGGCTGAGGCAAATGGATCACCTGAGGTCAGGAGTTTGAGACCAGCTTAGCCAACATGGTAAAACCCTGTCTCTACTAAAAACACAAAAATTAGAAAGGCATGGTGGTGGGCACCTGTAATCCCAGCTACTTGGGAGGCTGAGGCAGAAGAATGGCTTGCACCCGGGAGGTGGAGGTTGCAGTAAGCCAACAATGTACCACTGCACTCTGGCCCAGGTGACAGAGCAAGACTCTATTAAAAAAAAAAAAAATAGATGAAAAAAAAAATCCAACTCTTAAGTTCCTGCCCATGGAGATGGTGGCTCTGAAGATTCCCGTGAAGGTCCCCTAGGCCCCTAGGCTCTGCTGCATCCCCACCTCTTAGATCCTCAGTCCTGTCACCCACCTGCCCACCCCAACAAGGTTTTCTTGCCTGGATCCACAAAGTCTGTCCCAAATGAAGTGGCAGGATCCCAAGCCTGCTAAAGCTGGGAGCTCAGGTTGTTTAAGCAGGGACCCTGCAAGGGATTGCAGAAGAGGGACACAGCTCAGACTTGGCTGAGTTTTAGGTCTGTGTTAGGTTTGGGGACAAGAAGAATTGGGCAAGTTTAGGGTTCCTTCCTGCAGTCTCCCCAAAGCCACTGAGAAACTCTTCCTCCTCATGCCCTGTCCTGGGAAATGTGAAGCCAGCAATGTTGGAAAGCTGTGGTGTGTGCCGGCTCCCACCCACGGGGTGGACACTGACCACTGTTCCCTCCCTCTGCCCAGATGGCCAAATACAACCCTACAATTAGTTAACTCTCTGACTGCTCTGGGAAGGCCATTTAGGGAGTTTCTATCAGAATCTATTCATGGCTGAAAAGGAGAGGAAGGGTGAAGATGAACAAGGCATGACATTAAGATGGAATAAGAGAAGGAGGCTTTATGAAACTCTCCTCAAAGTGTGTGTAAAGAGGTTCTGGAAGCAAATCATCTTAGGAAAGAAAAAGCCTATAATCTCATTTAGCTTTTTGTCTATAGATTTTTTGAGGGTTATTTCAAGCTAGCCTGACCCTTAGCAATAAGGTTTGTCAAATATCTAATTTTATGGGTAAAGAAACTGAGGTCAAAAGTGAAGGTTTTCACATGTCACGTGTAGGGTTTACCTGAATGACACAGATACAAGGAATCTGTCCCTGTCTTCCTAGCAAACTTCTCAGTGTCCAGGATGACCCTGGTGGACCCCGGTATGTCCCCCAAAAGCACCGGCTTTCAGGAAAACAGTGTGTTCCTGAGTCTCCTTTGCAGTTACATTTGCCTAGCGAGGAGGATCTGGCTGAAAGCAACACACAACCATAACAATTATCTCTTCATCTTGGCTCTCATGACTCAAGCACAACCAACTTTCAGCAGCTTCTAAGCATCAGTGTTACATAAAAGCCTGAGGATGCCCTTGTTGGGAGGGCCCCATCTTCTAAGTGCTGGGGCCATCAGGAAGCTGATTGTGTGGATTTTTGGCTTCAAAGTCTCTTTGAGTTCAAAAGCTACCTGATGAGAACTGAATATTCTTGAAGAAATGGGGAGTGCTTTGATTTTACACTTTTTGAAGAGGTTTATAGGTTAGGGAGGCTGAAGTGGGTGGATCACCTGAGGTCAGGAGTTTGAGACCAGCCTGGCCAACACAGTGAAACCCCATTTCTACTAAAAATACAAAATTAGCTTGGTGTGACGGTGGGTGCCTATAATCCCAGCTACTCAGGAGGTTGAGGCAGGAGAACTGCTTGCACCTGGGAGGTAGAGGTTGCAGTCAGCTGAGATTGAGCCACTGCACTCCAGCTTGCATGACAGAGAGAGATTTTGTTTCAAAAAAAAAAAAAACAGTGGTGGGGTGGTGCCCCATCCAGTTCACTGAAAACATTCAAACCAGATGTTATGGACGTCAAACCCTGGGAAGGTGAAAATGAGGACCAAGCCAGCCTTGGGAAGGGCAGAGAGCACTGTGGCCCCTGCCAGTCCCAGGCGCCCCCTTCCTTCCTCTGCCGTGCACAGGCTGCCCGAGACCCTATCTCCAAACCCATCTCTTGCAGTGCTGACCTGGAGGAAGGAAAGCCAGGCTTTATATCCAAACCTGTGTTGATGTTTATATTATGTTGACGTCAAGGCATCTGTGTACACAGGACAAACACTTGCCCTGCCTGGAAGTGTTCTTTCCCAAGAGCAATGCTGATGGATACAAGATCGTTTCCAACAGAAAGGCCACATTTCAAATAGAAAACTGAATGTTCAATGATCAAGACGAAAGTCCTTTAAGTATGAGTCCCTTGGCTGGGTGCAGTGGCTCAAGCTGAACCCTAGCACTCTGGGTAGCCAAGGCAGGCAAATCACTTGAGCTCAGGAGTTCGAGACCAGACTAGCCAACGTGGCAAAATCCCATCTCTACTAAAAGAACAAAAATTAGCTGGGTGTGGTAGCAAATGCCTGTGGTCCCAGTTTCTTAGGGGGCTAAAGCAGGAATATTGTTTCAGCTCTGGACGCAGAGCTTGCAGTGAGCTGAGATCATGCCACTGCACTCCCGCCTGCATGACAGAGTGAAACCCTGTCTCAAAAAAAAAGAGTCCCTTAAATATGAAGCTCCAAAAATGGTGGGCTGGGAAGGGCAGTGGCATTTGCTGAGTGCCTGTCATAGGCCTGTCACTGCGTATTTTCTCATTTACAGCCATGCACAGTAACTAGTATTATACCCGTTTTACAGATGAGAAAGCCAGAGCAAAAAGAAGTATTTCTAGTGCCAGAGTCAGGGCCAGAATGCGAGCTCCATTTGCCTCTGAAGCACATGTCCCATTTGCTGTGGACACTGCCATCAGGGGAGGGTGAGGATAGGAGAGGAAAGGGCACCAGGCAGGACAGCCGCAGCATGGATGTCAGCACTGCTGGCAGCGCTAAAAGCAGACCCTGCTGAAAGAGGCCCTGTGGCTTGGTCAATTCATGTCTTGGACAAAAGTGAAAGGAGAGGCTGAGGGTGGGAGAGGGCAGATTCTAGAGGAGTGAGCAGTGAAACTTTGGTTCCTTCTTGTCAGTTAAAGAAACTAGAACCCTGTTTTCTGAGGCCAGGCCAAGCCCACCAGGAACAGGCTCTGGGATGGAGGGCACTGCTCTCTGAACTGGTGACTGCTACCACCCCAAGGAATTCGTGCATCCAAACCAGCCAGGTTCTCCCTCTCACCCTTCCTCCCTCCCTTCACAAATTCACTTTAACCCTTGCTAAATCTTTCTTTTCCCAAAACATGAGAACATTTTATACACACTTATATCTTCTATCATTTCTGATACAAAACATCATTTTTCGTCATCTGCAAAATCTTCAGAAGCATTTGAGTGGGTCAGATGGATCTGAAAGCTTGACAATGCCACCATCTCCTACAACCAAGAAGGTGCCCATATGCTGGTTAATTGAACACTGTCAAGAGCAGAAGCACCCAGATACATAAGGCAAGTTCTTAACGACTTACAAAGAGACTTAGACTCCCACACAATAATAGTGGGAGACTTTAACACTCCACTGTCAATATTAGACAGATCAACCAGACAGAAAATCAACAAGGATATCCAGGGCTTGAACTCAGACCTGGAGGAAGCAAACCTGATAGACATTTACAGAACTCTCCACCCCAAACCCACAGAATATACATTCTTCTCAGCACCACATCACACCTACTCTAAAATTGACCACATAATTGGAAGTAAAGCACTGTTCAGCAAATGCAAAACAACTGAAATCATAACAAACAGCCTCTCAGACCATAGTGCAATCAAGTTAGAACTCAGATTCAGAAACCAACCCAGAACCTCACAGCTTCATGGAAACTGAACAACTGGCTCTTGAATGTTGACTGGGTAAACAATGAAATGAAGACAGACATAAAGAAGTTCTTCGAAACCAATGAGAACGAAGACACAACATGCCAGAATCTCTGGGACACATTTAAAGCAGTCTCTAGAGGAAAGTATATAGCAATAAGTGCCCATATGAGGAGAATGGAGAGATCCAAAATTGACACCCTATCATCAAAATGGAAAGAGCTAGAGAAGCAAGATCAAAAAAACTCAAAACCAGCAGAAGACAAGAAATAACTAAGATCAGAGCTGAACTGAAGGAGATTGAGACACGAAAAACCCTTCAAAAAATCAATAAATCCAAGAGCTGGTTTTTTGAAAAGATCAACAAAATAGACAGACCACTAGCCAGATTGATTAAAAA